TGCTATGGGACCAAATGGCAAATGCTCTTCCAGATGCAAGATGTTTCAATCTGATTGGTCCATCCGTCTCGGAGTAAGAAGCAAGACAAAATGTTTCTGTTTAAAAAAAAAACGGGTAAAAAATGACAAATCACAAAATGTTTCTTTTGCGTGACCAACTGGAAGAAATATTCGACAAGATGCAAGAGGTTTCACTCCGATTCATCAAGCCATCTCGGCGCAATCGGTGAACTGACATAAAAAAAAAAAAAATAAAAGTCGAATTGAGTAACCTCCTTCTTTTCGAAGCCGGTTAAAAATGTAAAGAAGGATTTTCTACATTATCGAAAATTTCTAATATTTTAAATAATGAGGGCATTCAAGGACCAATAAGTGTGCCGGAACAATGTTCTAAATTTAAATACGCACTGATTACTTCGTGTGACGTAGAGCGATCGTTCTCCGTGTATAAATTAATTTTTACAGACAAACACCATCAACTAACACCATTAAACTTGGAAAAAATACTCATAATTTATTGTTACGCGAATTATAATATACCAGAATAATTGTGAAAAGTATTTTATATATGTGTACATAGCGAATATTCTGTAACATACTAATATATTACTTATTATACTACATTTTATTCAAATTTTTCGTGCATATTTTGCATATACATGTTACATATTTATCGGGCATAAACTTCCGCTGTCTAATTATAAAGATGAAAACTATGCCTGTTTGACCTTGGATTACAATGTGATGATGTCTGAGGTAGAAGGTAACATTTCTTTAGAAGAAAAGCTCCAAACATCCAGAGTAATTAATTACGATCTCGAAATATTGTGGGATATCGTTTAGGTTAATCTGTATCTCCTGTACTGTACCATCTAATCTTCATTACTTTAGGTTAGTCAGTAGTTTCATCTTCATGGGATAAGTAAATATTTTTAAGTTTCAAATCTAGTCATCCATCCATACACCAACTAAGCATCCGACCCTTGTACCCTTACTCACTAACTCCGAATAACACATCCGACTCCTTGACATCCTATGATTCTCATTGATCCTTCCCCGTATTTCCACCGCCTTCTGAATCCTTAAACACAAACCTTTCTAAGCCACATCAAAACTCTTCTCTTGCGCTTTTTCGTAACATAATACAACAGAAGTAGGAACGGTAATCTAGTTTCTAAGTACCGAATTGTATTAGAAACCGAACTTGTAATAAATCGGAATCTAACAATATTTATAAAGAAAAACTACAAAAATTTTATCACTATCATATATACAGACGGCTCAAAAAATAAAGAAGGAATCTCCACTGGAACAGCTATATTCTGCCCAAGTATAAAGCATACATGGTCAGTCAGTATTAATAAGAAGGCATCAGTTTTTACAGCTGAATGCATAGCTATTTCTAAAGCAATAGAAGTAGCTTTAAAAGACTGTGATAAATAATACTGATTCTATCAGACTCATTAAGGGTGCGCCGGACCCAGAGCCAAACTCCGAGTTGACTTCAGCGACAGTTGCGGAAAAAGTAGTAAACTCCGGGATAAGGACAGAGAGGTCGATACAAAATTGCAGGAGAGACGAGGACAGAATGATCAGGCTAGCATGATTTTTTTTCCAGGATATTGAAGCAAAGAAGCAATATTTTCTAATAATTCTGGTTTTAATATATTCGTTACACTTTGGCGGATGCGACTCCAAGGCCTGATTTTGCAATTCCGGCTTTAAAATTTTATAAACAATAAAATGAAGATAGCAAACATACTTTTATTGTTTATAAAGTTTTGTGGCCGAAATTAACGGCCTCAAAGTGTAACGAATATATTAAAACCAGAATTATTAGAAAATATTGCTTTTTTGCTTCAATATCCTGACAAAATCGTGCTAGCCTAATCGTCTTGTCCTCGTCTCTCCTGCAATTTTTGTATCGCCCTCTCTGTCCTTATCCCGGAGTTTACTACTTTTTCCGCAACTGTCGCTGAAGTCAACTCGGAGTTTGGCTCTGGGTCCTGCGCACCCTTAAAAGCTTAATAAGTACAAACTTCTCTGTTAAAACGAATAGATATATGTATTATCGATATTAGAAATAAGATAACTCAATTTAAACAAATGTGCACAAATAACAATAGAATTGTATTCCTATGAATCCCTGCTCATTGTAGGATTTATGGAAACAAAAGAGCAGACCAATTAGCTAAGAATCCACTTTCACCAAATATAAAGATAAATATAAAAATCTATACACAGACTTCAGATGTCACTACAAAGAAGACATGTAGAACGACCTTACAGATCAACTATCAGAACAATTTAGCTATAAAGGTATATTATATTATTAAATATACTTTAAACCCTGCAAAAGACCCTATAATTCAGCAGAATCCCAAACTAAGAGAGGAATAATAAATAATTTAGAATGCGAATGTTCGTATACATCACAGTGGTACACATTAACTTTAATGACTTTTTACACATAGATAAAATCGTTGAATCTTTTTGTCAAAATATATTTAAGAGATGAAATCACCCTTCAAAGTTAAAAGCTCAAAAATTAAATCCAAGAATTCAAATACAAGTAGAGAAAAGAAAAAGTATTGCATATGAAAGTTGATTAATATTTTAAAAAAGGCACTTGATCTCGTTTATAATACCTAACAAAATATTTTTTGATGCGTATATATGTCTATTAACACAATGAAATTTTATATATAAGTTGTTCATATTCCTATTTTAAAATGTAACTAGATTTCGAGCAAAATCCGTTATGTAGATGACGATGGTCTCTTAGTTTTCCCAATTCGTGTAAGTTCCTAATTCAATTATTTGTAAAAATTTAATTCTAAATACTTTCCAACAAAATTAAACTTTACATTAAAAAATTAAATAACCTTTTCCTTTATCTTGTTTAATAAAAACAAAATTACACATAGTCTAATTTATCGCATACTTAAACCACGTTTCAAAACATTTGCACACCATAAATATTTTGTTTAATATAATTACGGTGATTTATGTTATTTACAGAATTATTTCCTTCAACCAGAAATGCTATTAAAGTTATATGTTGGAAAATATGACGCATTCGTCCCTGTCTATTTACAATTGCAAACAAATTTCTTCTAAACTATTCAATCATTACTTCTCCTACTTTGTCGACAAGAGTGCTTCGATAATATCGAATTAAATAATCTTTCGCACAATTTTTCTATGTACATTTCACACTTATCAAAATGTACAGCAAGAACTGTTGCCTCTTATTACAAAGGCGTTCAATTAATCGAGTGAAAACTATTTTCTACCGTCAAAGTAAATAGCGTGAACTTTTACCGCGCTGAAAGTGTTCGGCGCATTAAAAGGGCACTGTATTCTCCTTACGTGTGGAATAAGGTTATACGAGTACCTACCAATTACAGGCCCACTTGACACAGATTGTCATGCCTCAAAGTTCCTCCTTCCAATGGCTTCAACTGCTACCGGAAATTAGTAACCGACGAGTAGGTATCACGTGGTCGTCCTCGCGTGCGAAATACATTAGAGCGGTTACATAGTTTATGGGAGTCACGACAATACGCTTGGAGATACACAGTTTAATCTTCGAGCTCGTAAAACCATAATCAACCTGGAAAGTTTATGTCTGTGGTTGCGTATGTTTCTTTAAAAACAAATTACAGTGTCTACATCTGTGATTTATAGTAACAATAAATTTTCCAAAAGAGGATTTAGGTTTTTGTCTTTTTAGTAACAAAATACGCCTGTCAACATAGTTGTGGTGGAGAAGTTCTTGTGGTTTTTTATGGGGATCTTCTCTTCTTCAATGGTAACTCCTTGAGTCCTCCACTGTTTCATGTACTTGGCGTAATTTTTTTACTTTTTCGAATTATATATACAGGGTCGCCCAAAAATGTTGTAACACCTTGAAAGGGATGGTTCAGGAGGTGATTTGAAACAACTGTTTCCTTAGCGAAAGTATTGTCCAAGGCTGCGCAGAAACTAAACTAGTGCCACCAATGAAGAGCAACGGAGAATAGGTGAATTACGAAACAGTTTTTCGCGTTTTTTATGCACAATAATGAAAACAAACACATAATGATTATGCATTTCGTAATCAGGGGAAGTAAATCTATCCACCTATCAAGCGTTTGTTTCGAAAATTTGCAAAAAAAAAATTACTTCTTTAAAAACATATTTTTATCATACTTTAAAGGTGAAATTGCAAAATTGGGCCTTGCAGTAGCATGCGGAGTGATGTAAAGAATATTTTAGAAAAAGAATCGTGAGACAATATTCCTTCTTCGCTTCAAATAACTTGATCAGCTTCGTTGCTGAGAAATCTTGATGATTTGTATGGTAATATGGTTGCTCCGCTATCACGCTGTCCACTGCAGCGCTGCTGTCGTCTCTGCTGCGGTTGTTGCGCTAGTAGTCTAAGACGCTTTTCATCGTGGTTTAGAATCGTAGTAAGTTTAAAAAATGCCCACGGTCAAACATTTTTCTTTTAAGTAGACGTGTATATATAGAAATTGGTAAAAAACATTATGTACGTGTATATACGTGTATGTACGTGTCCAACAGTATACGCGCGCTTTGATTAGTCAGTGTTTTCCGTTAATATCTTCTCAACGAAGCCTCGGACAACAATTTCGCTAAGGAAAAAGTTGTTTCAAATCACCCCCTGGACCACCCTTTTCAAGGACCTCCAACATTTTTGGGACACTCTGTATACATGTCAAATAGAATAACGTCTTCGAACTACTGGAATTGCCTAATTCTATATTACATCTACATATAAATATAAATAGAAAATAAGCAATATATTTATAAAAATATGTTATACTTGCCCAGATAGCACAGGGACGTCTTATGTACGTCCGTAAGACGTCCGGTACTGAACGTTCAGGACGTCCTATGGACGTCCAGATAACGTCCAAATGTCCCCTGAACGTCCTGTGAACGTTCTGTGAACGTCCCTAGAACGTCCCAGTTGCATCGTAGGACCCACGCACCTGTTTTGCTGTCCAAATAGGAGGAGAGGTGAACCCCTACGTGGCGCGTCCCCAGGTTGCGGATAGGGGTAGCTCCGCGGCGGGAAAGACTGTCTAGGACGGAATACCCTCAGCCGGGGAGTCGGGGCTAGGTCCCTGCGGACAAAACACCTAAGGAAGTGATATGGCACGTTGGCAGCAATCTTGACGTGGCCGCAGTAACGGTTATGGCACGCTGGCAGTAATGCTGGTGTGGCTACAGTTAAGGAGAATTCCACCATCGTAGGAAAAGGAGTCACGGGACCATATAGATGGATCCACCGACTCCACGGAAGGTGTCCCTTGCCACAGAACATGGTATCAGCAAGGCAGGCATCAGACGGATTGAGGGGCATCTCGCAGAAAAATCGTACATAAACGACACTGTACAGATCCTCTACTCCGCAGGGTGTAGAACAGAAGTTAATAGTAAGGGAAAGAGTAGAGCACGGGACAGGCCAAGGTACTACACCAAAAGCCGAGAGCGGGAATATGCAGCACTACACTCACCGTAGGTCATCACACTTACGGATGAGGACGTCTGAGTCCCCCCGCTCGCGTCCTGATCAGATTCCTCAATACAGCAAACAAAGCGAACAAGTAACAGGAAGCACGCAAGGCAGAGGGATGCGCCGACTGCGCCTCAGCGCATCTACCGTAACCGAATACAATAACGATCTCTTAGAAAAGGGTCCGCGCACCTCCCCACAAGATGGGAGGAGTTCGGATCTAGGACAAGTGGTGACCGTCCGACCAAAGTACACCATCGTAGGAAAAGGGGTCACGGAACCACACAGATGGAACCACGGACCCTGTGGAAGGGGTGGTGACCCTTCCAAATAGTGGGAACAACCTTCCAGTGGGAAAAGGGGGGAATCCAAGTTGGATCACCCTGGAGCTGGTGGTGATCGCGAGCTACGCAAGGAATTCGCCATGTTTTCGGGGTTGAGAGTCATGGGGAATACAAAATAATCCAGCCTAATACCAGTAGGGTAGGCTCGCCGAATCGGAAAAAGTGGCAGCGAGGACGGGTTGGCAAGCCTAACGGCTGGGGCCCATCCACGGGAGTCGCGTCTGATCTTCAGACACGCTGTGGGGGCCCCTCACTCGAACGCTCCTCCCTGCCGCACTTTAAACAACAGAAACTGTAGAAGTAGGAATAGGAATGACAAAAAGGGGATAGGTAGAAGCATGTATAAGTCGGTAACCCTGGCACGGATGACCGGTGGTGAGCCTTCATTCGGATCAGGGCCCGAGATGGATAGTTACACAAGAGGGGGGAGGGGGGATCTTTGCAAACCCGCGTTCAGATAGCCAGCCAGAACCTCCAGAAGGAGGTGGGTAGGGGAAAGAGGGACGGGGGAGTGCTAGGGACTAAAAGGGAAGGGGGAGGGGGTGGTAACACTAAAGAGGGAACCAATCCAGTCAGAGATACGGAACACTCCGACTGAGAACGAGGGTCGAATAACTCTAGAATAAGTCTAGAAAGTTCAGAGCGGACATCCCTGGGATGTATAAAATTTAGGCCTCATGGACGTTCGTAGGACGTTCCGGGCAGACGTCCCTGGGACGTACAGAATTTAAGTCCCATGGACGTCCTAAGGACGTCCGACAGCGGACGTCGGACGTTTGGGCGTAAACTGGACATAAAATGGACGTCCATAAGACGTCCGGTGCTATATGGGTTGTACTTGATTTTTACATTAAAATTATTTTGGAATATGGGGAATTGTTAAAAAATAACATGCTAAAATACAGGCGGCCTCACCGGGGCGAGCCTGCACACAATATCGGCCCAAGTGGCCTGGTCACAAATTGAACTAAACTAAACTAACAATAAGCTGAAACTACGTTACAATGTACTTATGCGACGCTCTCTCTCTCTCTTTTTCACACACACGCACACATTCTTACTCCTACGGTATTGTAGTATGCGAGAAAAGGTATGTATAAGAAAGTCGAGTATGTAAAATCGGCAAGGAGCGAATCTCTTTCGTTTCTGAAATATAAATTTTTTAAAATATTGTTAGGAATTTCGAGACAACTCGTCTAAACATTGGCGTGACGAGAGACAGGGTGTCGCGTAGTCGAGCGGACCCCAACGACGGGCGGCAGGCCCTATCATAAACAACCGCGAAGGACCTTGAAGAGCCTTCATTCAGGGACAGCGCGGAGACTATCTCAGGCCGGGAAAGTCACTTCTTGGCCAACAATCGTCGTGAACAGAGCTCGTCGAAATAAAATATCATTGCTAAAGAATACTCGGCGTTTTATACTTGCATTTATTTACTCGTCTTAGAATATCTAAATTTCGATTGACGAGTGTCAATCGTGTAAGTGTTGGAGATGTCATAGAAGCAGCGTTAGAAACTACAAATTACAGCTAAAATTATCGACCGAAAACTGGAACCTCAACATGAGCTTTCAATAATCAACCATGAAATAAATATATAGGAATTTTAATAAAAAAAGATAATATTTGTAAGAAACGTCCGGTCAAAGAAGCCCCGGATCCTATACATATAAGGAACTCGACGGTCAGCCACGCTACCAAAAAGGCTGAGCGATAACGCGCCAGTCTCATAAACAAGAGACAAATGGGCGAGGACCTAGACGGACAAGAGATCACTCGCTGGTCGGCACTCAACGAAGAACGATCTAGAATAGAATTGTAGAATAAACCATATCATTAGAAGGCATCCTATTAATGTTAATAAAGTCACTTTTATAGTTGCAATTATTAATCTGTTGTTAATATATTATATAAATAAATATAAATTAATTTATATTTAAATTATCATTATTTAACCTTATTTCTAATATAAGAAATAAATATTACTAAAGGTAAAGAAAAAAATAATGTGTAAAATATAAAATAATATCTCGATATTAATCGTATAATTTCTAATCCTTAATAAACAATAATTATAAATGTTAAAATTAATCTTACGCCATAATAAAAATAAAAGTTTATTAAATCTAAAGATACAAAAATGATCGATAAAACTATTAATAAAACATTAAATAATAAAACATAAGTATTTTCATATAAATTTAAATTTTAAATTATAATAATATATTTAACAATCATTACACTTAAAATTAATAATGCATAAGAGTCTCATCGTTAGACGCCTGCCCGGAGAAGGAAGAGTACGGGGGTTTGTTCCTGGGGGTCTATTCTCGAGTTTCGTGTGAATTTAATCGTATACGAACACTTTCGTATGGCGTGTTTCGTGTACGAATCGTTCACATACGAAAACGGTATTCTAGAGCACTATACGAATCACTGATTCGTATACGTATGAAATTACAGTATTGCCAGATTTACGCGTTGGAGACGAGCCAATGATTGTTCAACTTTAGAAAATACCAACGGAAATATACATGGCGTCCTGTCAATGTCATGTGTAGTTTTCCGTAAACGAGAACGCTGTGCAAGAGGCCCTAGCCGCCCGTTTATTACACTCAAGTTGTAATGTTTTATTGCGACCACGGGATGCGACGGTACTTCCGAGTGACCATGGGTTTTGCCAAATTTAGAAACTTGGCAGTATTAATCGAGAAGCGTTTGAGGAAAGGCAGTATTATCTCATAAGCTTTTGCGGAAACATCGTGAAAAGAATTGCGTGAAACAAAAATGTGCGACGAGGGTAAACCAACGAAATGAACGGGGAACATATCCCGCGAGCAAAAAGAAATTCTTATTGAATTTATAGAAGCAAGCCCAAACCTAACAAGGTCAAAATTTTCGGCCGATTATACGTATAAGGATGGACAGCTTTTGTGGCAAAAAATAACAAATATTTTAAACGCTTCGCCAGGGGCAAAGAGAGATTGGAAACCATGGAGACGTGTAAGTGTTTACATAGTGCTTATAAGTGTTTTATATTCAATTTTGCAAAAGCTGCATTAACATATTTTTTTTCCTTTGTAAAATAGACGTGGCAAGATTTCCGAGGCAAAGCGAAGGCTTAAATTTAAATTAATAGAAATTTAAATGCCACAGGCGGTGGTCCGTTAAATACAGACAATTTATCGGTGGAGGAGGAACGTGTCCTCAACACAATGTATGCTACACAAGTAAAGGGTGATTTCAATATATCTAGATGAAACGCCAATACAATTTGTACGTAAATATGTTTAAAAATTGAAAAGTATATCCAAGGTACTAAAATATTACTTTTTCCATTGAAGGACTACTCCGGAGAATATTTAGATGCAAACTTGGTGGACAATAAGAAGGTGGAAACACCAGCAGACTCGCAACCTAACCCTTCAATAATAGTGGAGAGACCAACGATTAAGATAGAAATGGTAAGTAATAGCTGATGTATTTTTCTATTTATATAGAAAAGGTTATTGTTATGAACTTTTATAACAAACTTATTTACTTAACCTTATTTTAAATATTTTTATTTATAGGTTAGAAGTGCCCGCTGGACATGGATTAATATATTGCTTATTTATAGTGAGACAGAAACACCCTCTAAGTCAAGCCACTAAATTACAAAAACAAACCTCTGGCATGAGATCACAAGCTTCAGTGCTTCTGGCACGAATAGTCGAGGAAGATAAAGAAAATAGAAAGGAGTATTACAATAAAATTGCTGGAGAGGGATGTAGTAGCTAAAGAAAGAATTGCGGCAGCCTTAGAAACTTTAGCTACTACACACTACGGATGAATCATATGAAAGTTCTATCTTTCAAAAATTTGCATAGTACAATAAATTTCAATTTTGAATTGGAAGGTAATTATTTAAGTAATTCTTGATTACTTTGTTTTTAGTAATTATGCAATACCTTATTCTCAATTACTGAGTAATTCAATTACTTATAATTACCCAGAAAGTAATTAAAAGGTATCCCAAATCCAAAGTATATAAAATACCTCAAAATAATTAAAAAGTAATTATAATTATCTTTTAATTACTTTTTGATATTTTTTTTACTTTAGATTTGGAATATCTTTTAATTACTTTCTGGGTAGTTATAAGAAATTATTTAAAAGTAATGAATTACTCAGTAATTAAGAATAATGTATTGCATAATTACTAAAAAGAAAGTACTCAAGAATTACTTAAAATTTAAGTAACTCGTTATGATAAACT